TAAACGTACGGGATCATTGTGTGGGCTTTGGTCACCGTGCGAGCGGTGTCAGCGCTAACGATCAGGCTAATGTGCTTTAACACAGCTCTCACACATATGTTTCCAGAGAATTTGTGATTAACACATGTGAGAATATTGTCCTGATGGTTTTATAAGAGCTTTGAAAGCATCACAACAAATGAGGGTAAATAAACATGAATACACTCGAGGCTCCAGAGCAGCTGCAGGCTCTCGTGTGTCCCTATAGCTCTTCAGTGTGCGCATGTCCACATGTGGAGTCAATAGAAAACTCAAGCATGGAGTGTATCATAGAGTCACACAACCTTCACAAGGACATGAAGGAGAGCATCTGTTACATGAAGGAGCCCATCTCACACAAGGACTGTTCAGACCCCGACTATTCACACAAGTCACATGGACGCCATTTTGAGGGATGAACATAGAAATAGAATAAGGATGTACTGATATGATACTGGTATTGAATACTGGTGCTTTAACAACTTTAATTCACTGGATATCAGTTCCAAGATACTGTATCAGTTCAGCCGATATCCGATTATAGTTTATACATCTGTGTAATAAGACATACTGAACAAAACACCTCATCATCTACTTGTTCTGCTACTATAAATGATAAAATAACAGTTACAAAACACAACTGGAGAGAATGTCCATGTGTTTTTCAGAGCCTGTTCTGCTGGCCTCAAGTGTACTTTTTGGCAATCACAATTTACCAAAAAATAATAAATAAATACTTTATAAAGACAATATAGAGTGAGTTGAGGAGTTCAAGTATCTTGGGGTCTTGTTCATGACTCAGGGGAGGATGGAGCGTGAGATTGACAGGTGGACAGGTGCAGTGTCAGCAGTGATGCTGTCGCTGTACCAGACCGTTGTGGTGAAGCAGGATCTGAGTCGAAATGTAAAGCTCTAAATTTACCATCAGTCTATGTTCCTCCCCTCACCTGTGGTCATGAGCTCTGGGTAATGACCTGAAAGAACAAGGTCACGGATACAAGCGGCCGAAATGAGTTTCCTCCGCAGAGTGGCTGGGTGCTCCTTTAGATTTAGGGTGAGGAGCTCGGCCACACGGAGTAGAGCCGCTGCTCCTCCACGTGGAGAGGAGCAGCTGAGGTGGCTTGGGCATCTGGTGAGACATGAACGCCTCCCTCGGGAGCATGTCCCACCAGGAAGAGGTCCCAGGGAAGACCAAGGACATGCTGGAGGGGCTATGTTTCTGGGCTGGCCTATGGCCCTCAGGGTCATCCTGGAGGAGCTGGAGGAAGTGTGTGTGGTGAGGGAAGTCTGGGAGTCCCTGCTTAGACTGCTGCCCCTGTGACCCAGCCCCGGATAAGCAGAAGAAAATGGACGGATGGATGGAGTGTGTGTCATGTTTGATTTTGTTCAGTCCCAAGTTGAAAATAAATCTGCTCTCCCCCAAAGTGTGAGTGCGTCAAATGTTCTGCAACAGAAACTGAAAGAACCATTATGGACAAGTGTATGTATAAATATAAGATCAGTACTGAAGACATGTACTTTTATTTACAGGGAGTGAACACTAAGGACATTTTACTGACGCTTTAATTCTGTCACCTTAAAAAGAGTTGAAGATTTAAACCAGAGCAAAGTGTTTTACGTCAGTCTCACTTTTCTGTCAAAACAACATTTTAATAAACACGTACAAGCGCTGAGCCAAATGTGTCTGAAAACAGGGAGTCCAGCTGAGAAAGAGAGAGGGAAAGAAAGAGAGAGACGGGGGGGAGAGTAGGGAAGAGGGAGAGGAGAAAGAGACAGAGGGAGAGGAGAGAAGGAGAGAGAGAAAAACACAGGAGAGAGAGAGAGGCAGAGAGAAAGAGGAAACAGAAAAAGAGAGGAGGCAGAGAGGGAGGGAAAGAGGGTGAAAGAAAGAGAGAGAAGAGAGACAGATGGGGAGAAGGGAAGGAGAGAGAGAAAAACAGGAGAGGGTAGAGAGAGGAAAAAGAGAAAGAGAAAAAGAGAGGAAGCAGAGAGGAAGGGAGACAGAAAGAACGAGAGGAGGGAGAGAAGGGGAGGAGATAGAGAAGACATGACTCCGGAGCGGCGTGATTTATGTCCATCATTTCTACATTAACCTCGGCTGTCCTCCCTCTCTCTCTCTCTCTCTCTCTCTCTCTCTCTCTCTCTGTCCCCCGCTCTTTCTCCTTCCCTCTCTGTCTCTCTCGCTCTTCTAATTCATTCCCTCCGTCTCTCTATCTCCTCTCTCTCCACACACTCTCTCACTCTCTTGTTTTTTCATTTCATCTTTTGGCCTGGCAGCGCTGCACAGGAAGTGGCCATCTTTAAATTTCCGTCACGCGGCGCAGAGCCAGTGATCTGCCCCCGGGCCCCGAAACTCGCATCTATCAAACCGTGTGTTGTGTCTCCTCTTCCTCCTCCTCTTCTCCCTTTCTCCTCCTTTCCCCCTCTCCTTCTCGCCTCTCTCTCTCCTCCTCTGAGTCTCCTTCACTCCTCTCTCTCTCTCCGTCTCTCCTCCCTCGCTCCGACGCCCCTCCAGACACAACGTGCTTTCGCAGTCGCTTTCGTTCTAAAGTCACTGTTTGACCTCAGCAAGTTTCGCTCCACAAAAACACAACGGTAGAACGCAGAGAGAGAGAGATTGAGAGGGAAAGGAAAGGTAGATAAGAGAAAGACAGTGAGAGGGAGAGAGAGAGACAGAGCTGAGAGAGAAAGGCAAGAAGAGAAAGAAAAGAGAGAAAGAGAGGAGTGGAGAAGGAAAGAGAGGAGCAGTGCAGAGGGAGAGCAGGGTGCAGAGGAGGAAAGGGTGCAAAGGAGAAGAGAGTGCAGAGGAAAAGAGGGTGAAGAAGAGGAGAGGGTGCAGAGGAGGTGAGGGTGCAGAAGAGGAGATGGTGCAGAGGAGGAGAGGGTGCAGAGGGAAAAAGGGTGAAGAAGAGGGGAGGGTGCAGAAGAGGAGAGGGTGCAAAGAAAAGAAGGTGCAGAGGAAAAGGAGGTGAAGAGGAAGAGAGGGTGGAGAGGATGAGCGGTGCAGAGGATACAGTCTGTGATCAGAGACAGGAAACAGGCCAAACACAGGAGCTCGGATTAAAGCTTTTCAAATATTTCCTCTGTACAAAAAGATCTGATCCAGGGTCAGAACAACAAAACCTCAAAACAAAATCCTTCATTTTAGAAACTAGAAGAATTCTGGCTCTGACTTCCCCGTGACTTTTTATCACCTCTGACAGTTAGGGTGATATAAAAGTTACAAGCAGCCGTTACAAGGAGCTGTTTAAGATATGAAGTGTCTCATCAGTGACACACGGGGACTCCCAGGGACGCATGTGACCTCCAGAAGCACCAGCAACCAGAGATGAACCTCCAGAACCACCAGCAGCAAGAGATGAACCACCAGAACCACCAGCAACAAGAGATGAACCACCAGAACCACCAGCACCACAAGATGAACCACCAGAACCACCAGCAACAAGAGATGAACCTCCAGAACCACCAGCAACAAGAGATGAACCACCAGAACCACCAGCAACAAGAGATGAACCACCAGAACCACCAGCACCACAAGATGAACCACCAGAACCATGTGTGCATTATAACAACACATTTGAATGTTGTTTTAGTCTTAGTGTAATTTTTTTTTTTTAGTGCCATAATAATAAAATGTGTACTCCATTTGGTCTTTTGATCATTTATTTTAATAGATTATTTTGTTCAGACCAAGGTTTAGGTCCTCTTCCTCCTCTGGTCAGGAGATTTAAACAGGTTTTGGAGATGTTTTCCTACTGGTAGAGGGTCTTTAAACTGTCCTGAAGAAGTCAGACTGCAGATGTCAAACTGCCTCCACTGGTAAATAAGTAAGTAAGTCTTTATTTATATAGAGCTTTTCAGACATTTTTGTCACAAAGACACTTTACAGAGCATTATTCAGCATTATTCATTCACTCTACACCTGCTGATGGTAAACTACTGTTGTAGTCACAGCTGCCCTGGGGCAGACTGACAGAAGCTCGGCTGCCATGCCAATCGGAGCCATCAGTCCCTCTGACCACCACCATCACACACACACACACACACACACACACACATCACACACACACACACACACACACACACACACACACACACACACACCACTTTCATACTAGGCAATGTGGGTGAAGTGTCTTGCTTAAGGACACAACAACAGTTATTCCCACTGGCGCCCCCCTGTGGCTCCTGATTTTCTCCCATCCAAGTACTACCCAGGCCTGGTCTTGCATAACTTCTGAGATCTGACGGGATCAGGCTTTTACAAGCCGATCTGGCCACAAAGTAGGTAGAGTAGGAAGCAAAAACCTGTTTAAATCAGCTGACAACAAACAAAAGTAACAACTAAACCTTGGTCTGAAGTATCAGACTGTACCAGTACTCTGTACCATACTGTGGTAGCCTGTACTGTGTACTGTACCATGTGGACTGTGTAGTGTGTGTACTGTACCATGTGGACTGTGTAGTGTGTACTGTACCATGTGTACTGTGTAGTGTGTACTGTACCATGTGTACTGTGTAGTGTGTACTGTACCATGTGTACTGTGTAGTGTGTACTGTACCATGTGGACTGTGTAGTGTGTACTGTACCATGTGTACTGTGTAGTGTGTACTGTACCATGTGGACTGTGTAGTGTGTACTGTACCATGTGGACTGTGTAGTGTGTACTGTGTAGTGTGTACTGTACCATGTGTACTCTGTAGTGTGTACTGTGTAGTGTGTACTGTACCATGTGTACTGTGTAGTGTGTACTGTACCATGTGTACTGTGTAGTGTGTACTGTGTAGTGTGTACTGTACCATGTGTACTGTGTAGTGTGTACTGTACCATGTGTACTGTGCAGTGTGTACTGTACCATGTGGACTGTGTAGTGTGTACTGTGTAGTGTGTACTGTACCATGTGTACTGTGTAGTGTGTACTGTACCATGTGTACTGTGTAGTGTGTACTGTACCATGTGTACTGTGTAGTGTGTACTGTACCATGTGGACTCTGTAGAGGATGCTGATGCCGAGGGTCATAAAAGGTTTGGAGAAATCGATGACTTTTTCTCTCTCTGAGGTGATGGTGAATCCGGCTACAGCCAGGTCAGCTTTCTGTCAACAAAACAAAGGAACAAATAAATACATTACATAAACAAAAGGATTTCAGAGTCTCCTGAGACCTGTTCATTTACAGAAAATGGATTGCGCAAAAAGACACTAAATACTAAATGGCTAAACAAATATTGACTCATTGGTTTTGATCCTGGATTTGGCCTCACCCGTCCACACAGAACCACGCACTATTGTGCCAGATTAAGCAATCAGAGACTCATGGACTGTTCATGTAAAAAGCATGGCGGGTTATAAATAAAAAAAAAAAAAAAAATTAAAAAAAAAAAATAACAACACAGAGGTAAGAGAAAGAGCAGAGTTCTATAGAATCAAAAATCAGTGCACAGAGCTTGTTATCATATTTATCTCTGTTAAAAAAGTGAATAATGTTCTGAATGATACAGCGTTTGAGTGATACAAATAAATGAATGCATGAATGAATAAAGGCCTTTATTTGTCAGTTTCTTCACATGTACATGTACACACAAAGGAATTGAAATTGGGCCTCTCCTCGTGTCCGTACATTACAAACATATAATACAATATACATGGGGATGACCGTTTCCCGTTTCCCGTTTCCGTGACTTCTGTGACTGCGATGCCGGACTTTTGCACTGACGGACTGAACCAGGACTGAACCAGGACTGAACCAGGACTGATCCAGGTCCAGGACCAGACCGGAACCAAACCGGGACCAGGGCGAGACCAGGCCGGGACTAGACAGGGACCAGACCGGAGGCTCAGAGCCCACTGCAGGGCCGGAACTCGAAGCTGGGGCTCAGACCCTGCAGAGGTTCGGAGTCAATGCTCAGAGTCCACTCTGGTCCCGGTCTAGTCCCAGACCTGGATCAGTCCTGGTTCAGTCTGTATGGGATGCAAAAGTCCGGCATCGCAGTCACGGAAGTCACGTAAACAGGAAACATTTTTCCATTCTTCATTTAAACACAAAATTGAAAACTGAAAAAAACTAATTGTTATCTGTTTTTTCATTTTGGTTTTGGAGACAAATAGTGAAGAAAACTTACTTATTTTTGGTTTTATATTGAAAAACGAATGAACGAATGATACAAGGATTTGCCTACCGTCAAGTGAACAAATTCTAACACTGCAAGGTCAGATGGTTTCTACGAAGTGAAAGTGGCTGATAAATCCGGCTAATAATAACCTATACTATATTAAAAATGACCTAAGACCTATTTCCTAATAAAACAAGTAGTTTATTAAGCTTAACTTCTTTGTCAATTCTGTATTTCCTTAAACCCAATCCCTTTTACTGGGTTGTTCCTAAACTGAACCACTTTAAACTCTTTGTTGACTGTGACATAAGATTTAGTTCATGCTTTAAGGCTGATTATAGAGCAGTTATTAGAAAGTTGGATCCAAAATATGATGAAAAATGATAAAAAAGAGACTAAACTAAAAGTGTAGCTTCCTGCATTACACTTCCATTCACATTGTGTTTGTTCCTTTCATGTTGTCTATAAATCTGTGCTCTCTTCCTCACTCCAAACACTGTGCAAACCCCAGAGGATCAGCAGGAGCTTCAGAGACGGAGCCTGGTTTGTTTTTCACCTCAAACCTCACGACAGTCCTGTTTCCTCTGCTCACACTGCTCCCGCTGCAGGTAGGAGACAGAGACATGAGAGGAGGCGTAATGAGCTGTAGTTCCTCTCACAGCCTCCAGGGGGAACATAAAGAACGGCGCTGTCTTTGCTCCTTCAGATCATCTCCACCTCTGAGCCGTGTGTGGGCGGCTTTTTATCACAGTGTGGGGACTCGAATCTGTACACACACTCCCTTATGCCTCCTTTACGGGCTTCCATGTTGTAAATCCTGTATTTTTAGATCACCCGTGTGGTTTGAAGGTTCAGATCTGGGTTCAAATAGATTAAGGTTAGGGTTTAGGTTAAGTTAGGAAAGTAGTGACTATGGTTAAAGGCACTCTGCATGATTTTTCTTTAAAACGTGAAAAACAGAACTAAATATGTTGCAGATATTCAGTGTTGGGATGGTTACTTTTAAAATGTATTCCCCTACAGATTACAGATTACATACCCCAAAATGTAGTTTGTAACGTAATCCATTAAATTACTTAAAGTGAGTAACGTAATCTGAATACTTTGGATGACTTGATATTGTCATGCTTTTTATAACTACATGAATGTCCCAACCACATCCTGAAAATTCATGTTTGTTCTCTTCAAATTGTCTGTTGAGCTCAAGTTTCCATGAACAGACGAAGATCTGAACATCAGATATTTTGTTTTATCTGCTAAAAGAAAATAAAAAGCCCAGACTTTACTTAAACATATTAAAAATATTATTGACAGAGAAATTATTTTTATATGAGTCACTGCTGCCTGAAATTATGGCCACCTACTGTTAGTGTCATACTGTTTAGTCCTGGTTTAGACCTGGTTTTAGTCCTGGTTTTAGTTCTGGTTTAGACCTGGTTTAGACCTGCTTTTAGTCCTGGTTTAGACCTGCTTTTAGTCCTGGTTTAGACCTGGTTTTAGTTCTGGTTTTAGTCCTGGTTTAGTCCTGGTTTAGACCTGGTTTAGACCTGCTTTTAGTCCTGGTTTAGACCTGGTTTTAGTTCTGGTTTTAGTCCTGGTTTAGTCCTGGTTTAGACCTGCTTTTAGTCCTGGTTTAGACCTGGTTTTAGTCCTGGTTTTAGTTCTGGTTTAGTCCTGGTTTAGACCTGGTTTTAGTTCTGCTTTTAGTCCTGGTTTAGTCCTGGTTTAGACCTGCTTTTAGTCCTGGTTTTAGTTCTGGTTTTAGTCCTGGTTTAGCCCAAAATGTGAAATACCGCCATGTAATCCACTTATTTCGATAAAGTAACTGTAATCCAATTACCTCTCATTAAAACAGTAACTGTAACTGAATACAGTTACTCATAATTTGTACTCTGATTATGTAACTCTGGTACATGTAATCTGTTACTCCACAACACTGCTGATATTTTGCAGATTCTGAGCTTCCTAATGATTCACCGTGATGAGGAGTATTACAAACAACAACTATCATGCTAATGTCACACTTCCTCATTATTAGACAATTAGCTGCAGAGAGAGCTGCTTATACAATATCTGTGTACTGCAGCAAAGTACACTCTGCTCAAATACCTGGGAATAAATCAGGTACTTTAAGGTTAGTGAACTTTTGTGAGAGTGTGCATGTGTGCGTATGTGTGTGTGCGTATGTGTGTGTGCGTATGTCTGTGTGTGTATGTCTGTGTGCGTATGTCTGTGTGTGTGTGTTTGTGTGTGCTTGTGTGAGATTTAGGGGCAGAGGGTCATATTGATTCTTTGAGCTCCTCTTGGTTTTATGGAGGGATTTAGATGTTGGATTTATCTGTGGTGTTGTATAGCCTCTCTGTGTGTGGGGTTCTGTGGTTTTCTGTGACCTTCTATAGTCTTTTGTAGTCTTCTCTGGTGTTCTGTGATCTTCTGTAGAGTCCTGTGGTTTTCTGTGCTCTTCTGTTGTGTTCTGTAGAGTTCTCTGGTCACCTATGGATTTCTGCGGTATTTTCTGGTCTTCTGTGATCTTCTGTGGTGTTCTGTGGTGTTCTTTGGTCTTCTATGATCTTCTATGCTGTTCTGTAGAGTTCTGTAGAGTTCCGTGGTATTCTATTGTCTTCTGTGGTCTTTTCTGGAATTCTGTGGTGTTCTGTGGAGTTATGTGGTCTTCTGTGATCTTCTTTGGTGTTCTGTGATCTGCTGCGGTGGTCTGTGATCTTATGTGGTGTTCTGTGATCTTCTGCTGTGGTTTTCTGTGCTTTTCTATTGCATTCTGTGGTCTTTTGTGATCTTCTGTAGAATTCTGTAGAGTTCTGTGGTCTTCTATGGTCTTCTGTGGTATTTTCTGGTGTTCTTTGGTTTTATATGGTATCTGTCTTAGTGTTCTGTGGTTGTCTGTGATCTTCTGTGATCTTCTATGGTGTTGTGTAGAGTTCTGTAGAGTTGTGTGGTCTTCTGTAGTCTTTTCTGGTTTTATGTAGTGTTATGTAGAGTTCTGTGGTCTTCTGTGATCTTCTGTGATCTTCTGTGGTATTCTGTGATTTTCTGTAGCGTTCTGTGTGGTCTTCTGTGGTGTTCTGTGGTCTTCTGAGGTCTTCTGTGGTCTTCTGTGATCTTCTATGGTGTACTGTAGAGTTCTGCAGAGTAGTGTGGTCTTCTATGGTCTTCTGTAGCCTTTTCTGGTGTTCTCTGATGTTCTGTTGTGTTTTGTGATCTTCTGTGATGTTTTGTGGTCTTTTGTGGAGTTCTATGATCTTCTGTGTTGCTGTGTCAGACTCCTGTGGGGCCATGTACATATGCAGGTGCTCTCTGTTACAGTAGACATTCACCTGAGTCCCACTGTCCACACTTTCCCTCCCATACGCCATTAAAAAGGCACTTTTCAGATGATAGATTATTTTCCTTTTTTATTACATTGCCATGAAATACCCCGATGTTGAACCTGATCTGTATATTATTAGCCTTTAAAAAGCACTTTATGAAAAAAAAAAAAAAATTCCCACAATGCACCATAAAAAATGCTCAGCTCATTTCATACTGTCAACACAAAGCTTTTTCTTTTTCTCTTGTAGACTTACTCACAGTGGGAAGAGGAACCAAAACAATAATTACAATATCCCACACATAGAAATAAAAGGAAACAGTCTTATTAAAAGTAAGTTGTAACTGAAACTTGAAACTAATATTTGAAAGGCCAACAGCGTGAGTAACTGTCAGGACATAACATCTGATTTAGAAATGAATTGAAGTGAATATAATATGAGGACAAATTTTCAAATATTGTACAAAATCTGGCAAGATTGGTATTTTCAAAAGATCAACGCAAAAATGAGACAAACTGAACCAGTGAAGGAGCGGTGGACGAAGCACAAATGTTCCAATCATGTCATAGTTAATATAAAATGAATATTCTGAATGTCTGCAGTGATATAAGTGAGTACACGAGGCCACTGTTAATATGTGATCCAGAAACACAAGGGC